TTTTCACTCCCTTTATTCCCAAATTGTGTATCCTTCCTTTCCAACTTATGCAGTAGCTCGCCCATGGTGGAAACTCTGTCCTGTCTAAACGATCTCCAGTCACTGTCTGGTTGAAAGTGAATGCTTCCACCGGTTACGAATACTGAAGCAGTCTTTCTGAAACCTCGTATGCCGTTCAAGATGGCTTCCTTCAACGTTCGCACACTAATGCAGATCGGACAACAGATGGGGCTGACTATGTCTTTAGAAAGTCTTAATGTTGATGTTTGCTGTCTATCCGAGACCCGTATTCAAGAATCTCACCTTACTTTTCAGTGGCCGAAGGATTGACCACCACCAACGGATCGATGTTAGTAAACTGGCTGCAACTTCTGTTGCAAGTAAGTATCAAGCGGAGCTAGCTTCTAGGCTAGCTACCATCCCACCGAAAAGTATAGATGAGCAATGGTTGCATCTTTACGCCGCAAGCACTGGGTTTCTTCTGGCTCCTTACAACTGATGGAAGCCCGTCGGTCTACTCCGGGTGACCGTGAGTTTGACCACAAACGAAGGCTGTTACGTAATGAAATCGGGCAAAGCTTGCGTAAGGACCGAGAAGCCTAGTGGTCGGAGCTTGCTAATGAGATGGAAGCAGCAGCTGCATCTGGTAACTGCCAGAAGCTCTTCCAACTCATCCGAACCACTGGCAGCAAGAAGTCTGGTGTGAGTGAAACAATCTACGAGGATGACGGGATGCCAATCACTAACATCTCTCCACGTCTTGGACGATGGGCGGAATTTTTCGAAGGGCAGATCAACTGGCCTGTTGCTCCGGCAACATCAACCAGTTTGTCCTGCCCCCCATGGCCGGTGACGATTGATCCACCAAACGAGGCGGAAGTCCGCAAGGAAATCCAACTCTTGAAGCGCTACAAATCACCGGGCCCAGATGACTGACCTCCAGCTCTTTTTAAAGATGGTGGTGACTTTCTGGCTAAGAAACTGACGGTGTTGTTTGCAAAGGTTTGGGAGCAAGAAAATGTTCCAGCATCATGGAATGAGTCGATAGTCGTCCCTATCTTTAAAAAAGGTTCACGTTGTTCATGTAACAACTATCGGGGGATAAGTCTACTTCCGATTGCGTCCAAACTATTGGCTTCTATCATTCTTCTTAGGTTGTTAAAAACCCGAGAACGATTGACTCGCGAGGAGCAGGCTGGTTTTCGTTCTGGTCGAGGATGCATTGATCACATCTTCACCCTCCGCCAAATGTTAGAACACCGTCATTCTTATCGCAGGCCAACAATCGTAGTGTTTCTTGATATCAGGGCGGCCTTGGATTCGTTGGACAGGACTGTTCTCAGGGATTGTCTATTGAACAAGGGTGTGCCTGAGAAGTTCATTAACATCTTAAAGGCCCTGTATACGAACACCTCAGGCAGAGTGAGGGCATACAACCACCTTTCTCCCTTGTTCCGTTCGAGCAGCGGGGTTAGGCAGGGTTGCCCAATCTCACCATTCCTCTTCAACTTTGCCATCGACGACATCCTGGAAACAGCTCTGATGGATATAACCAATGGCGGTGTGGATATGTTGCCTGGAGAACGACTTCTCGACCTCGAGTATGTGGATGATATTGTCTTACTGTGCGATAATGCCCAAGGCATGCAATCCGCACTTAATCAGTTGGCAATCAGTGTCCGCAGGTACGGCATGTGCTTTGCACCCTCCAAGTGCAAGGTACTCTTACAAGACTGGCAGGATTCTCATCCTGTACTCACTCTAGATGGTGAGCAGATTAAAGTAGTTAAGAAGTTCGTGTATCTAGGTAGCTATATAAGTGCTGGTGGTGGCGTGAGTGATGAGATTGATGCACGTATAATGAAAGCCAGAGCGGCTTATGCCAATCTGGGCCATCTTTGGCGCCTTCGTGATGTTAGTCTGGCTGTAAAAGGTCGGATCTACAACGCGTCGGTGAGGGCAGTTTTGCTCTATGCTTGTGAAACCTGGCCTCTCCGAGTTGAGGATGTTAGACGTCTCTCTGTGTTCAATCATCGTTGTCTCCGAAGGATTGCTGACATCCAGTGGCAACACCATGTTAGTAATGCAGAGGTTCGGCATCGTGTGTTCGGGCGTCGAGACGATAGTTCAATTGGTGTCACCATCTTTAAACACCGACTTCGGTGGCTTGGACATGTTTTACGAATGTCGTCCCAGAGACTTCCACGCCATGCATTATTTGCCGACTCTGGGACTGGTTGAAAAAGCAGAGGAGGTCAGTGTATGGCATGGTGTCGTGGCATGTTGGTCCTTCACGACTCCCTGGCTGGGGTCCGAGAGATGGTGCAACACAATGGCTAGAGACGTTATCAGATATGGTTCAGAATAGACGCCAGTGGCGATCCTGCTGCAACCTTCTTTTACTTTCTACATAAAGAGTGGTTCTAACTTTCTTAACTGAAAGAGTCTTCTGGTTGTACATTTCAGTCCGCCTTATCTTTTCATCCCTTCTCTTCTTACTTTCATTATTTTGTGTGGCGCATATGTATCTGGTGCCATTTTGTACCAATATATATGTGTTTAAATAAATAATAAATTAAATATGGTAACAACCGTAGCAGGTTATGCAACTACATAACTAAACATGATATAACTTTTTTCTAATAACCGTTAAATTGTAAGATCATCGCCTTACAGTTAGCTTTATTAGCTCTCTAATAAATTTGACGATGGAATACAAGGACCAGGCAAAATAATGAGTTCCATTTACCAGTAAATATAAGGCATTGGAAGAAATACAAAAGGCATAAGGAGGGCATCGAGTCAAAAATATATATTTTAACGAGACCAGTAAACTAAGGAAGAGGACTGAGTATTCAGAATGAAATCGTATCCTGCTAAACATGTGCAAGTGAATGAGACTTTACAGTTGCTCATGTTATGGAAAAAGATACTTTTTCTTACGAAGGCTGACTGGATGACCGTTAGTGATTATCCATCTTCACCTAACACCATTGGTCTAACCAGCATTACAAGCGATTGTCTCATCAGTGCTTCAAATAAGTGGTCAAATACTTGTCTCCCACTGTCACGTGCCGCGTCACAAGCACAAGGCAATATAGTGGATTGGTGCACATTCTACAAGTCATTAGATAGGAAGGTGGACAGCTTAGCTGATCCATAAATGGCGCAAGCTAGTGAAAATCCAATAGCTATTTTACCTCCTGGGACTTCGTCAACAATCGACTTCTTAGGGATAAACAAACTTACAGGATAAGTGAGACGGTCTGTGTTGTATTAATTAACCCCGAGTGGCCACACTGCATTAACATCAGAACAGTTCTAAGGAAACATTTTACATTTTAAGAGAGGAAAAAAAGTCTCAAGTAGGTGTCGTCTGTCACATAGTATCTTTATTCCATAAAATTGGTAGTTGTGTGATTGTATTAGTGAATAATAGACGAGACGATAGAGTTATCTTTAAAGACATGTGTTACTAGGTTAAGTAAAAATGGGAGGGGACGAAAGAGCACCCTAAAGAAAATTATGTGAGGTCGCCAATTTCGATCTCATTCAGTCATAAACTCTAACTTGATTAATAGTGAACGGGCAAAAAACGGTTTGTACACTTTCCTACTACAGACACGGTTGTAAAGTTTGTCGACCGATACAGCAAAATGCAGTCTTCATGTTAAAAAAAATTAGCCTGTGGTTTGAAACTTTACTAATTCTAATGAGAAGCAGCGTCTAAGAACACATTATTAGTTTTAAGAGAAAAGCGATACATGACAACTAGAAATAAACTACGCTGCATCTTACAATAAAATTTAGGTTGGACTGTTTCAAGCCATAGCTGGAAAAATGAGGAAGGGTAAGAAATAATTAACTAGCTTAAAATGACGACCAGTGTCAGCCGGAAGGGAAATTCTTTAGATACATGAACTACTGTGTTTAATGACAAAGTGCTCACGAATATGAGAATCAGCTAACAAGAACAAACCGAACACTTGAACCTCCGAATGCAGCGGAACTATCTTGAAATATTTGTGCCATTCGATTGTCTCATACAATGTCCACAAAAACACAAAAATGTTTTCATTCCTTTTAGCTTTTGAGTACGTCAAAAGCTGTCTTCCGAATGAATCTTATTTACTTGTAGCAAACGTCTTAACGTAAAGTAGATAATAATGTATCCAATATTCTTCAATGTGTTATTAAAAAACCGAAGATTCAGAAACGTACTCAAACACTACACAAACGGAAATAAATTAGTAGTGGAACCTTAGTATATCCTCAATTTAAGTCAAGTGTACATTGAATAAAACAGTTTGGTTGCAATACTTGTTGCAAAACGTACCTTAAGGCTAGTAGTATTACTTTTATTAATATAAAATTAAGATACATTGTAATATTTCGAGGTGACAAGCACAATAATCCGGGACGCTCTACTTTCGATGATAGATCATTCACAAGGGAAAAGACCAATGAGTCAAAATGATTGTGTAATGAACTGTGATACAGTGTATTTTGTCACACGCGACGTTTCAGTAATGTGACCATTTTGAGGAAGTGCCCAAATAGTTAAGTTCACAAAAACCTTAAATGGAGGAATAATCGGTTAGACTTAGATGTACGAAACATTAGAACAGATATGAGTAATATGATCAATTTAGTAATTGAACATATCTAGTTCTAAATTGCACTGAGTACATAGTTACCGACTACAGGCCACTGGTCATCGGAGTTACTAAACGTAAGGTTACCCGGAACTGAAAAATATTAGCCAAATATTCATGTCTTCAGATAATACAATAAACATGTAATATTTGACCAATACTGACGAAATTACGGCTAATCCTTAATATAGCATGTGCCGATGGCAACCGGTCATCAAACAAATTCCAGAGTCGATGAAAAATAACAAATGAACCAGAGAAGATATTTATAATAATTGTGCATTTTACTGATTGAAGGCATTGAAGTCAAATACAAGAGATGAAGTTTGTTGTTGCGAAACTCACGAAACTTCGCCATTTACAAGGGGTTCACTTGGTTCCGAATTGTCGGAAGTATCAGGAACTCCATTACTAGATGGTTGCTCCTCAGCATTTTTGGTGACCTGTGTATTTAGAAAGTAACAGTTAAGTAGTTACCTTGACGTTCGACAAATCTTCTGCTAGTCCATTGATAATATCTCTGAAGCGTGAAAGCGAACGGCCTGGAATTGTAATTGCAGTTCTAGATGCTGTTCGGACTTCTGAAATACGTAGGTAAGTTCCAAACCGATTGAACGAGGAGTCGAAGTACAGAGTACGATTGTCAAACCTTAGGGACTTTGACTCCGGCAAACTAAGAGCTTTATAAGAGGTACAAGTAAGAAATTTTGAAACATACATTTACTATCATTTACTTCTGAACCATCCCACCATTTTCCCAGCATGTCATTGATGGCATTATACAAATCTAGCATGCCCTGAGACGGAATAGCAAGTTGTATTCTGTTCAAGGTTGACAACATTGTTAAGCGGAGAAAATGACCTCTTTTGTTGCGTTTGAGGTCAAGGAAATAACGTCTATACGGATAGTTGACTATATGGGACTTGATGAGGCTGTTTGCGGGCTGTAAATCTGTAGTTTTATTTGCGTCTGAGTTTTGAGCACCTGAACCTTCGTCATTTGACTTGATCTCTTCAAGAACATCAATGAGATCCTTTAGTTTATCTTTTATTTCTACGGCAGCTTGCAGGGTCAGAAGAATTCTGGCTTTTCGACCGTCGGAACTGACCTACTTTCTCATCACGTTTAAAGTATACCAAACCTCAGCGATTTTCATAAATATTCCTCTTCTATTTTTCTTGACATCAACATAAAACCGTTTTTTCTGGACTTGCAGGGCGACACTGGCCAAATCTTCCTCTTCCTGAATATCACCTAATTCCCTAGTACCAACAAAACTAGAACTTACGCCTATGGGGTAAGGGACCAGGTAAATATGGCATCATTGGGAAATGTGGATTAGGTGGTGGCCTGTACAAAAGAGGGTTCATCTGACAGAAAAAAGCTTGACATGGAGTAATGAAGGACTCACCATCGAAAAGTAAAAGAACTATGACAAGCACGCCTAATTTGACAACAATTTCGTTCAACCCGGCAAAGTGAAATTGACGTGGTAAAAGGTTAAACAGTGGAGACCTTGAACTTAGTGGCTCACATATGTAGTTGCAGCAATGCTCATTTGAGTGCCGATTTGAGCCTTGAATACAAGTGAACACAAGTGATCAAACTGAACCACGATTGATGTAAAAATCCTTCTGTTTTATACCTGTTAAACATTGGCGGACTGGGTGGCTGGATGAACTTGAAAAAGTCAAAAGAGGCTGCTTAATGTGGCATTTAAATCTTGCAGTAAGAAGGACTCAATACTAAAGAATGGGTCAAAGTGATTGGGAAATTTCGTCCATAAACACTTTTCACTCACTGGCTGTATGAAAAAATGTTAGACAGAAAAAGAACCACAACAAAGATAAGATGTTGACAAAAGAGGCCATTAAAATTGTAACTTCCGGGTTTATGGGGCTTCGACAGAAGATGATGCGAAAGTCACTTTGAATGGAACACGCAGTTACTTATGTGGCCTTCGAACTTTTTACACAGATGTATGGAGCTTGCTCAACAGGCGATTGGAGCTATGTGTACAGATAGACTAGCAGATCAAATATGATCACCATCACAGAAACTTCGTTGACTCACTGTGTAGGCAATGAAGTTCTGACTCTGAAAACTTCACACTAATAGTATTAGACAGAACTCAGAAGCATAGAGCAGGGGGAGCAGCTATATTAACTGAAAATACTATCCTTTTTACTGTTATCAATAATATACCTCATGAAAGTGGAATACGCGAATTAGTTTAAGGATGCGAAAAGAATTCGGATTTTGACAACACCTTCACACGTAACACCTTTATCATCGAAGTATACCAACCGAGTCTTATCAGAAGTCAGAAATGAAGGGGTTCGAAGGTATGTCTGGGAGGCTATCGGTATGTCGAGAAGTGTTTGGTCTAAGTTGGCTAGCAGTCGTAGGTGATGCGTAGCCCGGTGTACTCACTCGTGATCTGGAATAAATGCGTGACCAGACGCCCTCAGCCAGGTTGTGCAGTAAAACTAACGAGGTCAGCATCAATATCGAAGACCTACATAACTATTTATTTTGAGACTTTATTTACCGTTACATTGCACTCTCCCTAAGTAGCGCAGTAACTACCTTAAGACCCGGCCAGTCAGAAGTTTAAGCCCAGTCAACTTGTAGTTGGTAAATACTATTCTTGTAGCTTACTATGTTCAGAAGTAATTGATCGTCTTTCCTTCATAAAAGGGGCCATGTGGTGCAGTATAACAATGGAAAAAATATATAATGGAAATTTAGATTCATAATAATCTTTATCGGTTTTTCAACTTTTTCGGCTGTCCTGGAATAGAAACAAAATGAATTGTAAATGCATGTCGAAATACACTCGCACATGCGTAAGGACACAAAACGTGCGAAGAAGGATATATGAACTGGTATACATGCTTGTTGATAATATGAGATAGTATAAACACAATTTTTGCACAGTTATATATTTTTGGGACTTTGTAATAGTAAAAAGCTGACGGCTCAAGACGCTGAATGCTGACATCATCGTTAGTTGTTTTTATCAATGATACAATATTTTGGGTTTATGACGAAGGACTTTGAAGGGTCCTCCGTATGCCACTACGAGAGGTCGTCGTAATGAGTCGCAACGTACAAAAACATGTGTACTGCATCCTAAAACAGGTTGAGCGAAATTCCAGTTGACTGCAGTCGAGTGGGAACTGGTTTAACAGAACGTATGGTGTTTGGAATGAGATTCTCTGTCCCGACTTGCGCCCCCGCAGTTATCTACGTATTCGTGTACGAAGATGAGACCTCGAAAGACGCCGCTGACCAATCTGAGGAACGTTTGTACAGAATTTTCTTTGACCGTAAAGCATGCGCAAAATTTCGTAGGGTCTGAAGGAGTTAGTGACTACGGTTTTATTAATGTCATCAGCAGCCATGGGAACTTGGTTATATGCTTTACACAAATCGATTTTCGAAAAAAACAGTGGCACCTCTTAAGTTAGCTGTCAGTTCGTGCGAGTGAGGCAAGGGATAACTATCGACATTCATATTCAGTTGCCGATAATCACCAGTTCAGCACCAGCCGTTACTTTTTTTTGAGGGCCATGTAGAATGTAGAAGACCATGAGCTGTCCGATGGCCGAATAATTCCCAAATCTACCATGTGGTCGATTTCGTTTTCCGCCAACCTCAGTTTTTGGAGGGTTGGTTTAGTAATGCCATCTACAAAACTATTTTCACGTGTCAATAACTAGATGATGGTTTTGTAGCAGGTCTATGCCAATGATTGACATAGAAACATCTGGAACAACCGAAATCCAGTAAATGGGTATGCATCAACCCACATTAAGATACACGTATTGTTTGCCGCATGTGCAGATCGGTTTACCATTAGCCGCCCGCAAGTTGGAAACCAGTCTGTGCTGTCGGTTGTTAGAGTTTGTAGGAAGAATGACAACTTTTACACCACTGTCGACGAGATGGCGAATTTTCGTCACCACATCAGTGATGAACAACAGACGGTTATGTTTGCTGTTAACGCGCGCTGGCGGAATAGTTTCCCGAAAACTGGATTGTTTGGGGCTTGAGAAACGGAGGAGTTCTCTGCAATTGCTGGCAAACTTACTATATTTATCATGGTGCCAGTGCCTATCATGGTTATCTGACTCTCGCGATTTAGAGACAGATCTTTTTTGTGACGAACTCCTAGTTTGGAAGCGTCTACGATTGTGACGAATACTAAGTTAACAAGTGAGAGTATAGCAGAAGTCCGTAACGTCATTTAGTGTTATTTGGGCTTTTTTTTAAAGGTATAGAGCTTGGAGCTAGGGGTTCTGATGATCTGTTGGATCCGGTCTCCATGTTTAAGGGCAGTCATCTTCAAGGCATCGTAAGGTTCAGAAACATCACTGGTAAACGTACTGGGTGTGACGTACCTATTTTACTCACGCAGAAGTGCCTTCACTACTTCAAGGTATTGTGCATGTAAGTCTGTCACTCCGCGTTTGAGGAAGTCAGTTTCTCTGTAGCAGAACCGGGCTTCTATATTGTTGGGTCATAATATCATGGATCGTAAGGCGGTGGAAGGATAATATTCTCAACTAGCTAGGGTGTCTGCTCAGTTATGAAGAAGGTACGCTATACAAATGGGCGCGAACAAACGTTCGAAAGTATAAAAACAATACCACTGTGTCAAAATAAAATTAAAAGACTATATCCAATGTTCCAACTAGGGACGGACCCACAGTTTATGAATAGGTGTGCCAGATCGGCGAACCCACAATGGTCTGATGCGGTTACGTGATAAAGCGCCTTCAGCTAGCGTGTGTTCGGCAAAACAAATTAGGTCAGCATCAATGTCAAAGGTTTACAGAGCTATTTACCTTTGGGAATTGTTTACCGCCGCAAGTTAGTTGCTATGTGAAGCTTGAGATCAAATAACTGGTGGTTGGTTTGGTTTTCCTCAGTCCGAACTGCGGGGTGAATAAGGTTTTGCTAAACGGATCTCCAGCTGAAAGCCGATCATTCTTGTCGCCTTTAGGGATCATAACGAAAGTAAAATAATACTGAACTCTAGCCGGACGATCCTTAGGGTAAGTGTGTCTTACCTCGGAATATTTATCTCTTCATGTCCAAAGGCGTATAAAAGTTAGTAAAAGTAGATGCAGGCCAACGCGAGAATATTTACCAGATGATGTGGCTTGAGCATACTTCCTACGTAGCCGTTCCTATTCTTTTTGGTTTTATACCAAATATGCTATTTTGTCGTCAGGGTTCCATTTCCTCTAAAGGTTACTGAAAGTGAAAATCACCGGCCACCACCATAGGGTAAATAAGGTAAAAACGACGCAGCCTCCACATAAAATCATATGGGTTAGAAAGTTACATCCAGGTCAGAGTGTGACTATTAGTTTATTAACATAATTTAATTTGTTAGTAACGATAATAGAGCTGAAACCGAACAGAACCATAAGTAAGAGGAATAAACATGAGTTGTTGGGCGGATGGATGTTACTTGAATATTGTATATTAACAGATTTGACCTACGCCATTCTTGGGTTCCTACTATCTGGTTGGTGTACTTGTAGTGGCATTAGGCCACAACAACACAATCCTCAAAGCTGAACATGGGACAACTGGGAAAGTAGTTATTTAACATTTAATGCGGAAGAAACCCAACAATGGAGAAGGTGGGAAGAATTAATTCAATTCATCGGATGGCATGGCTCAGTATTGCGTGCGTGATCGCTCTGTGTAACTTAATTCTTTTATTCATATTGAATATATTGCTTTATCTCCACCTAAATGTTTTCTCCACCATACATTGGTGATGATTGCATAGGACGAGTCAGTGTAGACAATTGTGTGACTTCCACGTAAGATCTTATAGATCAGATGATCACATCATGAAATCTAAAATTTTAGGACTAGATTTATTATTACAGCAGTACTAATAACGAGGTAGAACATAATTCTGCATACTTCAAAAAGTAAAGGCTGCATAGTTGTGGAGATGAGGTGTGTGAAATTATTGGTCACAGGCAGTGATTTTGCTCGTGCTTGGTCGAGTTTCGAAAACTTGCCTTTTATCCAGTGCCAAATTAGATCTACTGCACACCTAACTCCAACCAAACAGCCCATAGATCGAGTACATTTTTCGACAGTCGATCGTTGCCCACGGAAGAGTGACGATTTTTTGTAGCATCACCAACAACATTAGGGACATCCATCATCACACTTGCGACGAATTATATTTGGTTATTCCCCATACCCAGTTGCAACAAACGTTTGTCTGTGGAGTGATTCTTCGTAGTAGATTTAAAATAAAGACGACTGAATAGTTTTCTACAACCGTGAACTGCCACATCTTGTGTTTTTGAATATGGATATAGATCGAAGCTTTCGTTTCCAGCCAACGAGATATAAATTTGCTTTTATGATGAGCATTTTTGTAGCGTTCAAGTTAGTGCTCGATTAGTTCTGTATGTAGGACATGTGTTAAGATGTTGTGTTATGTTGAGACAGCCAAGGAAATATAGCTATCAGGAGGACCCTAGTTATGATTGTCCTTCTCCGTTTGTCTCCCAGTACAGTTTCTTCCAACAGTTCATCTGACTATCGTCCATTAGTTAAAAATTATCTTTAGATGGCAGCTCTCTTAGTTAATGGGGGAGATTTACAAATCTGTGTGCATTTAACAAAATGGTTATAGGCGGCACAACATTCCCACACAAACGCATACACATAACAGAGAATCAGATAGACCCTATTTCCATCAGTAAAAATTTCACCAGGTCATTTGAAGATGTGAGAACCAAGAGGATAGCTGACATAGCTTCAGACAACCACCTGATGGTTATCAAGATGCGATGAAGCTAGAGAAGCATTAGACAACTGGGGAGGCAGAATTACAAAGGTTCAATACAGCCTTCTTTCGACACATCGACAAACTCAACAAATTCAAAATAACTCTCAACAACAGGTTCAAATCCTTACAAGATTTGCACAAGAAGAGGACACTTAGATGAAGGACAACTGGAAATGGATCGAAAAGCAATAACTTCAACGTGTCAAGAGTAGCTGGGACCCAGTAGGCATCATCATAAGGAATAGATCCCTATAGAAGCCCTGGAAAAGATCTAAGGACGGAAGAATAAAAAGACAGTAACTAACAATGGCTGAACAAGAACAGAGAGGGTCAAGGCAAAAGTCGAATACACAGAAGGAAACAAGCAAATGAAGAGAAGCACTAGAGTGGACAAGCAGAAATATGTAGAAGACCTGGCAACGACGGCGAGAGAAGCTGCAAAAGAAGGAAATATGAGACAACTATTTGACATAAGGAACTAGCTAGCGGGTTATTATAGTAAACCGGAGAGACCGATCAGGAATAAGGAAGGCAAAACAATCGCTGAAATTCAAGGACAGAGGAAGAGTTCGGCAGGATGCTGTGAGGGGCTCCAGGATAGACCAGCTTCACTGAATCTACATGATTTTGAAGCACCACCTACAGACCTTCCCACAGACATCACTTCACCAACGAAAAGGATATCATGATGGTCATTAGACCAATCAAGATTATGGAAGCAGGTAGACCTGAAGAGTAATCAGCTGAAGCACTGAATTCACACATAGAAGTAACTGCACACATGCTCTACATTCCATTCAGAAAGATTTGGAAGGAGGAGGAACAAGTGACAACAGACTGGAAAGAAGGATATCTCATAAAGATACCAAAACAAATGAGATCTGCGCAACTGTGAGAACTACAGCGACATCACATACTGACATTATTAGGAAAGGTTTTCAATACAATGTTGCTGAGTCGCATGAAAGATTCAATAGACGCCCAACTTGGAGATCAACAGACTGGATTTCTCAAGGACCGGTCTTGCGAAGACTGAATCGCAACAATACGGATCGTTGTTGAACAATCTGTTGAGTGGCAATCGACACTATACATCAACTCCATTGACTATGAGAAAGCATTTTACAGTGTGAACCGGAGAACCGTAGAGCTCATTGAAAACGATCGTGAAGTACGGTTTCCCAAACCTTCTAAGTGGCAAACTAATAAATTTAAACTCTAGTATCAAGGCTAGATCGCTTTACTTATAACAGTACAGATCGTCAGTGAAAACGCTCAGGTAAAATACTCACTTATTCATTCAACAGAAAGCTGCTAAGTAACCATATGCTTTGAGACACTCTATGACAGCGAAAAACCATTTCGAAGGTGAAGAATGTGTGAAGGTGGAAAGCATTTTATTATGGGAATTCCCGAAGTTTCCGTTTTTACCGGAACTACTGCGTGAGCATTATTGTGCAATGTTCTAGTGAGAGAAGGCAAATGAATTACAGAGTTTTGGGCCCCGACCGGTTGAGTTGGTTAGTGGATGGGCCTAGATACCACCAACTATGGAGCTTTATGATAACTAAAAGGAAATTATGTAGAGGGAATGTCACGAGTGTACAGGCCAGGACATGTCAACAGTCTATGAGACCAATAATTGTTGGTTTGAGCTATGTTCGAAGTTATATGCCTCTGAGATAAGGTCCTCAAAGTAACTATAACTTACGACGTGGTGTTATTCCAAGCTCTTCACTTTGAGACTTCATTGGTCTCATCCTAGTTTTTGCATTGTTTTCATTTTCTACCATTGTATGTACGACTTCCATTTCTTGTTGATCTCTGCTAAGTGTGCTAATGTAAGGTTCAAAACACAGATGACCAGTACTTACAACGCATTCATTAAGGTTTTCTAAACACTTCGAAAGCTTCAGGTGTTAGATTCGTGCAAACGTCTTGGTAGCAATCTTTCCACTCATCGTACTGCATCCTGTAGATTATTAACGTGGATGATCTACATCGAATGATTGGGGGCCTACTCGAGCTAGACGGGAATGCTGTGACTAACAGCTAACTTCGAATTCACACCTCACGTTCAGCACCCAACGTGGCTTACCCCTTCATCGTATCAAAATACTATCGCTGCTTTGAAGATCTTATAACACAAAGGACGTTATTACAGAAATATATTGGTTAGAATAGGTACAAGCGAATGTGTCACCACCACTGTATGGGCAGTTCATGGCGTAAAATTAACTTATGCGCGTTGGTTGTCTTCGGATTTGACGGAGATCGACGACCAGTTAGAAACTCAGTGACCGAACTGCCGTATGGGTGAGCTAGAGCTAAGTGACATTTCTTTGGCCCTACAATCCAAATTTTCAACAACACTGTCTGATAACCAACCAAAGGTTTTAATATAAGTAAGACAAAAACCTGAAGACGTAAAAAAGTTGGACACTAAGTGAATCATGCGGTTCAAAAGTGCAATAAACAGAAAAACCGCTTTACTCAGTAATAGTACAGATTCAAAAATACCTTTGGAAAAGCAATGCTTTTGGCATGAATTTGCCTGAAATTAATTAGGCTTAAGTGAAAAAGTAGTACGGATAGTATTAAATGATAAAAAGTAACTCGAACTCACTGAGGTGAAGCACCGTGGCTTTCTAAGTAGCGCGCATCGATTAGGAAGATCCAAGTTCACGATTTTGCTTTTTTGCAGTACATGGTCTTCCGAAATTGTCAACTCTATTAAGATATACTGACAGCATTTTTCTAACGCGTGGTAGTTCTATTTTAGCAATTGCGTTTATCTGCTCTTCAAGGACAGTCACTACGAAATTAGAGCAAAATCAAATGACTTAAGCGTTCTAGAGGCAGATGCGGTTTGGTATGTAACTAGGCTTTTCTCAGTAACATTTAATATCATATCCATTCGAAAATAATTCTCCTCGAAGGGTAGGATTAAACTATACTGCCGAGCCAATCAGAAGCTTTCGCGGGTTTTCAAGGTCACGGCGCCAAGTTCGTGATGAAAACCCTAAGTGTAATTCCTAGCCTTAATCATGAACTGTAAATCATAATTTTAATTCTTCACACAGGTTTATAACCCTCCTTTGGTCTTAGTTATTATATTGACACTCTCAGAGTCACTCTAGCGTTGCTCAAAGGTTGTCCATAACTTATAGTCTCACCCATAACCCTACACCTAAACCTTAACTCTAACCCTAACCCGTAAACCATACGAATATACTAACATTATTGAAGCTATGTGGTCGAGGCTAAAGGAATTTTTGAGACTTTATCATGGTTTCAGAGGTCGACTACTATGGAGCCATATGGATGTGTTCCTGTACCGTATGCACTATGATTTTAGAACTTCTGAACCTATATCTGACCTTGAGAAGTTTTTGACCCATATAAAAGAAGTGTTTCCACTTTAATTCTTTGGTTTTGTATAATATATTTTTACTGTATACTAACTGTCTTCTGAGTGGCTAATATTTCTCAAGGTCATTTAAGATTCGTTCAAAGGTCGGCAGTATAGTTTAATCCTACCGGTTATCAAATAAATGGCTTAAAGCATGTAAAATTATTCTTGATAGTAAGCCTGTTTTCTACGCATGACAATGCTTGCTAGGTCGTTCACTAGTCATCGTTAATTTCTTACCACCACCTGTTTGTCCATAAATGGAAGCTGTGAAGTTATTGCCCAAAATCATCCGGACAACCATGCTTCCGTAGATATCGCCTTGTTTTGATTTTCAGTCGAACACATGATAAAACTTAAAGACTGAATATAAGTAAGTTTAAGCTTTGACACCCATTATTTACCATTTATGTTTCTGCTTCACACTATACACGTGACCATAAACAGTTCTTCAATTTCTACCTGCTGACAGGCTTGTGAAGAGCGATAATTGGCGTGCGTTTTTCACGTGACAATATTTGCTTGGGTCTTTGCTCTTAGTGATAAGCCAAGAATTTCCTATCAGTATCAAAATGTACATTCTGAGGTCTTGGCCCCTAATTATATTCACCCATTAATTATTGAGTGGCTTCCGTTAAAGCTAATGGGATATCTCATTTCGTGGGGTTTCCCCTGATCGTTATAAATGATTAATTTCGTGTTTTAGTTTCTCGAAAGCTTCACTAAATTGGTCACTTTCCCCTAAAGATGGTAACTGAAGAATTGGTTGAGAACCATATATATTCGGTTATGATCTCCACATTTTTTTCAGTAGTACTTAGTGTTATCTTTAGTATTTAAATCCATAACCTTGATGACTTAGCAATATAAAACATCAAACTTTGTAGTAGAACTACCGATTTATGATTTCAGGGGTTTCAGTGAGTGGGGGCTGTCAGACAACACATGAAAATACGTTTGAAGCTGTAACTCACTTTTCTTCTAGTGTTAACTATGCCTAAGTTTAAATGACTTGGACTGAAATACTGTAAGTGCTTCAAAATAACTTCAGAAATTGGACTTATCGACAGAACAAATTGGTTTGGCTTTGACAATTAAAAAAATTTCTCTGCCTATTTCTGTCAGTTACGTACCTTAAATCCATGCTTACTTGAAAATGAGATATGTAGAAAAAGTTTTTGTTATATAAATTTGAAACAGTGATTAACTTATTTAGACAAATAGGTTTCAAAGCCTTATCTACCAACAAGCCTCAATCCTATGGATCAAAACACTTAGACTGGTGTTGTAACTCATTCTGTCAGTGAATTAACCAAAGAAATAAAAACTTATTTAGTTTTAGTACCTGTGAGTAAACAAGTGTTAAAGAGACAGTATCTTCATTAGGAGAGATCCTTTTTCTCCGAAGTTTAGCTTGACTTCAAATCCAATTCTGCTTGCAGTAACACGCAATATATGTAATCCACAATGTGATCTTTTCCACTTAGATACCAGTAGGTAGAATTCCAAAAACCAGAATCGACAACGATTATTACAGTCTTAGGCTGTGTATCCTCTGGTGTTTTAAAGTATCAACAATTCATTTGCATCAATCTAATAAGTAGTCAAAGGCAGAAGATCGTCGTGTGGTGTCTTATATTTCGTAACCTTTTGTGTGCTTTGGGTCGAAATATATCAGTATTTGCCTAAGTGGGTTGCAATATTTTGCTTGTTTTCTTTTCTATAGATTTCATTGTACTTACTGTATCCATTGTTAACTTCCGGTTATTAATAAAACCTGTACTAATAATATGATGGACGGACCACTTATCTACCTGGCAATGGATAATGCAAAATTAATCATTAATATATTAAAGGCAGTGCACTTCCGCGATGTATGTTTCGATAATTGCGTCATCTTTGGTGTCTAGCTTGCCACAATATTTGCCACAAATAATGGTATTAAGGTGACAGTAGAGGACTCAAAATGCATTCAAGGAAACGCTTTTCTGCATTCAGCGCTTTTCCGTGAATACTCTGTAAAGAAGGATATAGTATCGTTTAGGACAAACCTTGGTGTACTTGTTGTAAGTAGAATCTAGTACTTCTTCAGGTCCTTCAGGATTGCCTTTCTATTTTTGGGACTTCAGTTCAAGGACCACCAATTTCATTCATTTTATCTTATAAAACTCACGGGAGTGCTTTAAACATTCTGTAAGTTACTTCCAAGTTATTATTTGTGTACAGACTAGAAGAAAATGGAGTTGTGGCAGAATGCAGCATTAAAACTATGGAGGCGTTTGAAATATTGGACTTTGATTTTTCAAGCAGTAATATCTCAGATAAATTCATAATGAAGGTTTGTCCTAAGCTAACTGTTATGCTTATGATATGTTATAATATTACTGTTATAAGTACTGGTCATCTGTGTTTTGAACCTTACATTAGCACACTTAGCAGAGATCAACAAGAAATGGAAGTCGTACATACAATGGTAGAAAATGAAAACAATGCAAAAACTAGGATGAGACCAATGAAGTCTCAAAGTGAAGAGCTTGGAATAACACCACGTCGTAAGTTATAGTTACTTTGAGGACCTTATCTCAGAGGCATATAACTTCGAACATAGCTCAAACCAACAATTATTGGTCTCATAGACTGTTGACATGTCCTGGCCTGTACACTCGTGACATTCCCTCTACATAATTTCCTTTTAGTTATCATAAAGCTCCATAGTTGGTGGTATCTAGGCCCATCCACTAACCAACTCAACCGGTCGGGGCCCAAAACTCTGTAATTCATTTGCCTTCTCTCACTAGAACATTGCACAATAATGCTCACGCAGTAGTTCCGGTAAAAACGGAAACTTCGGGAATTCCCATAATAAAATGCTTTCCACCTTCACACATTCTTCACCTTCGAAATGGTTTTTCGCTGTCATAGAGTGTCTCAAAGCATATGGTTACTTAGCAGCTTTCTGTTGAATGAATAAGTGAGTATTTTACCTGAGCGTTTTCACTGACGATCTGTACTGTTATAAGTAAAGCGATCTAGCCTTGATACTAGAGTTTAAATTTATTAGTTTGCCACTTAGAAGGTTTGGGAAACCGTACTTCACGATCGTTTTCAATGATCAGAAGAGATATGTTTTTCGTATGTATATTTGTGTTTGTTTCGTATTCTACTATACGCTGGGTCTTAAGTGTTTATGTTTTCCAATTAGCATCAACTATCTGACGAAGCTATTTCAAACAGGATTCTGTTTTTTTCCACACAAATTTTTTTAAAACGATACATTTATCCGTTGCAATTATGTATATTTACTGCCATGTTTGTAAAGTAGGATTTTTATTATTTCCACACTAGTGTATATCTGTAAATGCGATTGCTCCTTTGGGGGTAAATTACTGTAAATGAACATAGTCCTGTTTGAAATGTTTGGACTCACATATCTAGGCAATAATCTCAGTAGGAAAATGAGGGTTTTTTACTATCTTCCTCGAGTCACAGTTATTTGGTACTAGACGCATGGTAGACTTTAGAGCTACATATCGGATAATCTGCAAGATATAGAATCATGTATGATGATAAGTATGAACTCTTTTTTTTTAAAAAATTTTGTAAATATTACAATAAAATTTATGGAATCATAACTTACCGTACAAAAATTGATCTTGTTCTTTTCTGACCTGCTATTAACTTTAAGGAAAGGTCAGTCAGTGTTACGCTAACCCTGTAGACTAGTGTACTATTTTTCCTATTTTCTATTCTCACCTGTTACAGTCAGAATGTATGCGTGAAGCGTTCAGCGAACTTGATACTTCAAGCGAAATCTTGGAAGTTGCTGTAATACCACCTCCAGCTGTTCAGTCTCGTCTTCGTTTAACGACGTATGGTTTCGCTGGGACTATGCATTTTGACTTACCTCGGTCATCTGACCAAGTGGAAGTTTTTGAATCTGCAGCTGCAAGTCCTCGGATAGCTCGATTTCGTCTTTCTCTTCTACGACTTGCAACAAGCCGAGCACTGTCAATGGCTAGCCGTATTTCGCTGCGTATCAATGACCGGGGTTTCCTGTCGATCCAGTACATGATAAATCTTTCAGACGGTGAAGTTGCATTTGTCGAGTTTTTCGTAAGATTTTCCTTCAAAATTATTGACATTTATGTATTTTAGTTCGCAACTTACATGTATCAGACAGTTTCCATACTTTACCATATACCATCAAATAAGAATCAGAAAAACTAAAGTCGGCAAAACAATTGAAGTTGAATCCTATTAAATTAAAATAAAGTAAAAACTCACTATCATATATGAAGTAGAACTACTTAAGCTAAGGCATTTAATTTAAACTTATATCACCTAAAGCTATCAACTGCCATTTTTCGGCTATTTTACGTACTTCATTTAACAAAGCCTTGGTTGCGTAGTATTCCTTCATACTCCTCACGCTTTTCAAAACCTATGACAGATTGACTCGCGAAAAGTAGACTGATCTTCGTTCTGGCCTTAGATGTTTTGGTCATCACCCTCCGCCAAATGTTAGAGCACCATGAAACTTATTGTGGCCTAACAGTCGTGTTTCTTAATATCAAAGCTGCCTTTTATTTGTACAGGGCTCTCCTCTATCATTTTCTGTTGAAGAAGGGTGTATCTATGAACTTTATCAAAATCTCAAAGGCCCTGTACACAAACTCTTCGGGCAAAGTGAGGGCATACAACCACCTTTCTCTATTGTTCTTATCAGGAGTGGGGGTTAGGTTTAGCTGCTCCATCATCATTTGTCCTCAACTTTACCGTCAATAATATTCCTGAAACAACTCTAACAGAAGTAAGTAGTAATGGTGTCGATCTTTTTCCTGGAGAAAGACTTTCCTATCTTAAGTATGTGAATGACTATTGCTTTACTGTGCAATAATACTCAAGCTATACAGACCACTTAATCAGTTGGCAGTCAGTATTCGTACGTATGGCATGTACTTTGTACCTTCTAAATACAAGGTACTTTTACAAAACTGTCAGAATCTTGCACTCTTTGTAGTGAGACGTTACGAGTAGTCGAAAATTTATTGTATTTGGGTAGCTGTTTAAGTTTTGGTGGTGGTGTGGCTGGTAAGACCAGTTTGCGTAAATTCAGATGAGCTTATTGCAATCCAGTTTATCTTTGGCGCCATCATGATGTTAGCCTGGATTTAAAATGTCAGGTTTACAACGTATCGGCTGGAGCAATCTTTTTCTTTGCTTATGAGCCATGGTCACCGAGTTGAGTGTGTTTAGAAATTATGTGTTTGATGACCATTATCTTCGAAGGATTGTTTAAGTCTAATGTCAACAACGTGTTTCTAATCTCGAGGTTTGTCAGTGTGTTCGGGTGTAGTGACTATCATTCAGTTTCTGTCACCATCTGGAAACACCGACTTCGGTGACTTGTTCATGCGTTACGGATGTCACCTTAGTGATTTCCCCATGGTGTGTGGTCTGTGTGACTGGGTAGAAAAAGTGGAGACGTATTCTGGAAAAGAAGTTAGTGAAGTTTTTTTAGTTTTCTTTTGTAAAAGTGAAATGACCTCCTTAAGCTGAAAGAAATTTCTTCTAGGTATATTTTAAAAAGAAACCAAACTAACTCTCCTATTACGAACTATTCTCGTTCGCTTATTTTTATTCGTTTATTTATTTTGATTATACTCTCCCTCCTTCATCTGCCTCTTCACAATTTAATTTTCTTATTTATGTGGCGAATAATTGTTTTCGTACCTATTTTGTGCTTGTATTTGTCTTCAATAAAAATAAAAGTATCCAGACATGCCATGTTTTTGTATTTTCTTGCACTGTGATGTGTGCTACTGATGCTGATAGATATAAGTAGTATGTATCATCAATCGAAAGTGAAATGCCTGGAGGCGAGAACAGTGAATGATTGGTGTAGAAACTAAAGGATAATGATGATTGATTGACATTTTGCAGAAGGAACAGTCAAGTTTGGTACAATTGACTGACACTGCAAATGAAGAATTTACTGTATAGTTCTCAGATTTTACTAATAGATTCTGCAATTTTGTGTTCAAATACATTCGATTGTCCCCATTTGTGTTCTCGTTCACCACATACTTGTATCTCCTCAATTGATATAAGTCCACAACTGCATTAGTTGATACGATTACCAGACTTTCTACTCTTCTTCACATGTGGTCAATAATTTCGAACTAGTTTTTCATCTTAAACTTTCATTTTCACATTTCTTGTTAGAGTAATTAGGTTTTCGACAATGATCATATTTTATTCGGACTTAACATAACTTTCGATGATATAAGATAAAGTACAAACCTTCTAAAGGTATGTTAAGCAGAGATGGATAGTGGCTAGCAGTGGAATCCATGACGCGCGTTTCGTCCTATTTGGGACTCGTCAGCTGGATGTACCTGCATCTCAGAGTTGATGTTCACTCTGTGATATGTTGGTATCGTATGTTGCTCAGCTGCTGTTAAATGATCAAAAATAGAGTTATAATACAAGTAGAGTACGGTGATCTATCTGTATCTAAAAATAAAATGATAAACGAAGTAAATGTTCGTAACTTTCTTCCGAACTGGGAACAATTTATTACTTCATTCTATATTTTCTTAAATTATTACATTATAGCATTGATCGTTAAAAAGATACTGATATTCAACTGATTATAAACATTTGGTGAAACAGAATAATTGATTACATGTATAGTTGTAGCACAATATTAAAAAACCACTGAAAATTATTTGTGGGTTGAAAAAGGTTGTATTTCAATAGAAAAAAGGTGTTTCTGAATGAAGTTATTGTCATTACCGCGTGTTGTCAAGTAAAGTAATCAGAATGATCCCGAATCGTCCCTGGTTGTGTATTTTTAAAAATGGTTAGCAGTAGAGTCCAGAACTGAAGTTCTGTTCTTTTTAGAACTTGTCAACTAGACGCACTTGAATAACCTTTTGTGTACTTACTGAGACTCGAATCCAGTCCCCATCAAACTTGACACCAAAGCACTAAATAAATAATGTCATTTGTGACTGATTAGCTTAGTGCATAGCACTACCTGATGATCTGTGGATTTAAGTTTTAGTGGGATAAATAGCATTGGTTCAGGTCTTCCCACTCAGTTACCAAGCACAGATTTATGTATTCTCTTATTTCTTTGTGGGTACATCCAGCTGAAAAGTCCAAAAAAGAGCAAAAAATCTGAGTTTCTCTGCTAACCATAATAATAAACATGACCAAAGTGTATATTCGATCCTTATTGAAACGTCCAAGAGATGTATATGTTAACGAGATTGGATGATTGAATCTTAGTAATCGACAACAGACAAGTACACATGCATGCAGCGAATAAAAATTGTTTAATTTGTTAAAAAATCAATAAGCATAAAGATTGCCTATATTTTTTAAAAGCGTAAAAGATTTAGATTTCCGAGCTGATAATTTGACCATGCAAAGTAAACCATAACTTATTTGTTTTGGTCTTATTGTAATACATTTCAATTCGTGTCATAACTTGTATGTGTTATCAATGGGATTGCACATCTTTGAACAATATGACAGTCCATTTCGAACGTCAGTTCGTTTATTAGCAATTTCATTTCAAGGGTTGTGATTAAAACTGAATATGAAAGTGTACTCTGAACTATGGTTATTTTCAAATACGATTAGAAAACGTGACTATAGCTGCGTGTATGGTTTTTATTCACGCGCTAATTGAATATGATCATTGGTAAGACTTGAGGACCAGTAGACCGTAATAAAATACCTAAAACTTGCATAGTCGTCAGATTTGTGGTTAATACACAACATTTTCGGTTTACAGATGGTTTCTGTCTCACTTCCACGTTCTTAATATATATATATATATATATATATATATATATATATATATATGAATTGATTATCCTTTTCCCGAATCAAATGTGACCAAAATTAATTTATGAAATTCCTATTACATATGTATGTTTTCAGTGCGAAGGAAAACTGATTGTTAGAAGCATTTGTTATCGATTTTTAGTTTTGTCAAAGCATTTCACTCCATGTGCTTCATAAACTAAGCAGTAGTTTGCAGTCCATTAGTTCATATTTTCGGAGGTGTATAGTACTTAAATTCTGTTGTCTGTCTTCATTTTCAGAAGTTTGACTAAATGCTGTTGACGTCCGCTGCAGTATCCCAATTATTTTTGTACATCGTGCGTTTCACTTCATTGTTTTATCACATAAACTTTCTAAACTATTTGCTGATAAAATATTCCATATTTTTGCTTTTAATCCTCAGTGTGTTCCAGATGTAGATGAAACAGATCATTCAGAATCTCAGGCAAGCACGAATAGTCCACAGAAATCTAGTAAGATATCTCATTTTGCATCAACGTCGAAGTGTCCAGCAAACACAATAGATCCCGATTGGAGTGATTAAGGAACTTAGTTTTCAGTTGGATTTTAAAATGTAACCAAACAGCTTTACAAATTCAGATAAAAAAACCTTACTTTTTGTATGCCTTTTTAAATACGTACTGTAAATAGTAGATATTCTGCTACACTCTATCTTAAGACTTGATCATTTACTCAGAGGAAGAAAAGTTCTTTTCGAAACTCCTTGTCAGTATTTGTACGACCTTGTGTCTTCTTTAATAAAATCAAATTCTTGGACTTATAGTTTTCAACTTAATCAGATGAAAGATTAGCTTTTTCCATGGGTGCTATCATTTTTATTTCCACATATAATCAAGTATTCTAAAATATATTACAAGGAAAAGTTATATAAACAAATCCCTTCTCTTGATTATTATAGAGAGTAAGCTAGTTTTATCAGTAAATGGTTGTTTACATTATATCGGGTTGTTCGTAGTCTCTTTTAAATTAGTGTTTGTTCATTGTCCAACTTTTAAACGGAAAGTTGTCATTGTAGAAAGTGATTAGGTTTTTATTAGTTAACCGTACAAATAAATTTTACTTATTGAGCTTCCTCAACTGATGGTGTGATTGATCGAACTTTTTTTTTATTATTGTCAGCATTATAATTTGTGGAATGTTAAAATTTGTTATTAAAGAAAGGTCTTGGTTTAACATTCGGAAATAGCCGAGTGTTTAAAGTCGGTGGAAGCAGCGGTCTAGTGTGTTCTAGTTCTCAATACTTTTCGGGCTTACATTTGTGTGTGATAATGTTAAAATCATCTCGCTTAATTGTTTGGTTGAGTAATTTTGCTTTAAATTAAGAATTCTCTTGAATCAAGGATAGATGGACATCATTACTTCCACTAGCCGGTTGCTTGCCGGGAAGAATAGTACTTATGAAATAAGCAATTGGTTTTCAACCCATTGTTTGAGTTTATTTCTACGCTAATTAACAAAAAGACTACAGTGGTAGACCTCATGATGTTCCAGTCCATAATAAACACACTGGATTTTAAGTGATGGAAATTAAGAATTGCACTGGTTAAGAATAAGATGTCAGTCAGTTACAACGTAGGACCAGACACATATATGCATCGGTCCAAGTTGCCACACCTCATTAGCATAACAAGATTAACACCAGATTCATAGAAGTAGTTACTTCAATGGTAGTAATATATTAAAGCAAGATTGTGTATAAGGATATAGTACAGGGAAAAAGACAGATATGAAGCAATTTTAATCTCACGGTTCAAGGGAAGACAAAAGGTGTATACACCATTGTGATCGATTTTGAGCCATGTCACACAGAGTTGACTTCTTAATTCCAGTTTCCTTCATTAGTCTGAATAGTTATCTGGTGTCGCCTACACTAGCTGTCTTTTCCAGCTCTTTTGCTTTCGTTGCCCACCAGTGCTCACGATCGTTTCGTAGACTTTTGGTTAACCTAGACCTGATTTGTCTTCGCTCTTCATCGTGTTCAGAGCCTGATGGGATGAGTTTACAAGGATCCATCAGTGCAATAGACTTAGAAGAAATCCATTGGTTTTTTGGAACCCTTTGATTTAAATTACTAATAGATGTTACTGCGGTTTCCACAGCTGTTCGTATATCTTTCCAAGCAACATCTGGGTCATTGTCGTCTACAGAACTGCCTGAATGTGAACTCAGTTGTTCCCGGAACTTACATTTGACTTTCTCATCCCTCAGTTCAATCCTAATGGGTCTTCTTTAGTGTGGTTTTTCTGCGTCCAGTGAGGCGCAAGCAAATGCGTGCTTGTATTAGAGCACGATCGGAGTCCAAACAGGTACCCCAGAACAAGCGACACTGTTCTATCGAGCCTCTTCAGCGATGACTGATGGCAGTATTATCTACTTGAGTACATTGTTGGTTTGGTGCAGGTGGTCACCATGTTGGACGATGTCTCTTCTTATGTGTAAAATTAGTGCTTGCTAAAAATAAAAGATTGTCTGGGAATAGTTTTAGCAGTCAATTATCATTATCTGTTCGCTAAGCCGGAATACTAAAATACCCATTTAAATGTCTTCCTGTTTGGTTTAAGCTACCTAATTGAGCATTAAAGTCACCTGCTATGAGTACTATGTCTGAGCGTTTAGCCTTATAAAGAAGTTCAGAAAGCCTTCTGTAAAAGTCACCTTTCACTTCATCCGGGCTGCAGTCAGTGAGAGTGTAGGCAGAAAGGACTAAAAGGCAACGATGTGTGTCCCTATCCTTTCGAGTTCTTATGGAGCTGTTTGACCGAACAACACATAAGCGACTGTTAACAGGGATCCACTCTAATAGTACTTGTTTTGCCCTCGTACTAAATGCTATGCCTACACCTTCAAGCCCTCGAGAACTAGTCATGGGGTCTCCAGATACACGGAGAGTTTACCTCATCGGGTCTCCATTTTGGCGAGGTGAGGTCAAGTAAATGACTATACCAGGATCTTGTATGCGTGTTTCGGAGACACAGCATACATCAATGGTACGAGATTCTAGGGTTTGATAGTCAAGGAGGCCTGCTGAACGATTTGACACTGGGTGCATACGTTGAAGGCTCTAATGTGTAGTTTGGAGCGAGGTTTCAGTAGACCTGGTAGTGTTTTACTCACTAGAATCGCTGGCTATGGTGACACTTGAGGAGGAAGCCGAAAGAGAATGGTTGGAGTTGAAAGTCGATGTAAGAAAAAAAGTAGGAATTGAAGGAGATTGATTATGGATCCAGTGATCTTAAGTGCTATTAAAGGTATTAGGGCACCAGTTATCACATCCTGGTTGCCCACATCGTGGAAGAGTTCTTCTAGAGGTATCTGTAAAGGAAATCGGGTGAGAGGTGACTTTAGTGACCGTAGTACCCAAGGAAAAACTTTGAAGTCCTTCACACACAACCATCGTGTGAGTAACTTTCGTATTAGCTCCGTACTTGTTGGGACCTTACCGCCGGAGACGGATATTCGTGGGATAAGGCGAGGTGTGCATTTTCAGGGTCGACCTTTTCTAACCCCATCATTCCTTGTAGGAAGGCAGCATCGCTGTTATGCTGATTGTTTGAAGGAAACACCTTACTGCCGTCACACCTGTACAGTCAGAAGTAAGACTTCGCTCTCGGACCTTGAGTTTGCTGTTTTTAGACTTACCGCTCTTCAACTGACCTGTCTGGCATGATAGAACCTTGAGGAATGATTGTTCCAGCCAGCATAGCTCGATTGCTTCATCACGATAGGCAAGCCCGACCACTACGACAAGGAACGGTCGGGAAGAATAAGATGTGGATAACAAAGACTAAACGTACATGTCTGTTTGCTTTTATCCATTTATTTAATATATTTGGTCATACAAAGATGGTTTGTTGGATCTGTATGACTTGGTTGTGAAAAATAAGTGTACGTTTGAATATGCGTTCAGTCATGATGTGGGACGTTTTAACAGATACACCTGATTGTCAATGACAAAATATGATTCTATCAAGTTATGAAAAATTCATTATGAGCAGTGGTTAAATAAAAGTCAGAAACTTCATGTACGAGTCTCCTAATCACGTTTTTGGAAATGACAACACTGTTCATCTGTCTTCATAATATGGATGTGAACAAATACTTTGATTAGCTGTATCTTGAAGTACTGGAAAAATTAGCTTGTAATCACTTTTATACCATATAATGAAGTACGAACTTCTAGGAGATAACAAAGCAGCCCCCTGTTGTTGTATATGAGTTATAGCAGAGATAATAACTATGGTTTTCTATATGCTTGTCTGTTGCAACAGAGAGTATTACATCACCTGATAAGGAAGCTTTTTGAACCATAAATCTATTTTGATGAATAAAAATGAAGATAACGGCAACATAACTTTTGCTTACTTATATTTCAATGTCATTTCCTTTAATGATTTATTTCGTTGTTAAATTTCAACATTGTCCTACCAATGCTTTATGCATCATATGAATGAACATCAATATATTTCTACTTAGCAATTTTTAAATAAATTTTTTTATTATAACGACTCAATCTTTTTGATAGTCTAACGAAATAATTAAGGTGGTTGAACTGATATTTTGTCTATGAAACTGAAACTCCAATCTTAATAGAATAAATAATATAATATCGAGCTATCAGTTTGTTGATATAGAATAAAAACTGTCATTTATGTACTTAGTATCTGGTTGAAATAGCATGATTCAATTACTCATTAAATAACAGAGTCTAATTAGAAAATAATACATTGTCTTTAGCTTCTTCACATCATAACACTTATCAACCCAATTATGTTTAAATATTCTGAAAACAAGTATTTAACTAAATGAATAAGAACATGTAAATCACCGAATATTTGTTCCTATTTAGAATTGAATAAATATATAAGTCATGTTTCCTGTTATCTATCCGTTTCTTGATTTTTAGCTCTATTTGATAATTTACATCATTTTGATACGTTTATACAGATTTTCACTTGTTAATTAGTGTAAAACTTATATTTTGGAAAATAAATCCTATGAAGTATGAGGATCGAATTAAATCTGCAAAGTATTTCAAATGGAAAGTATTACTTTAACATCACGTTTAACTTTGTACAGAAACACACTATACATTGTAACCAAAAAGTTTTAGATGTTTTTCGAATCACTTGTTCATGTGACATACCTTAAATATTGCTTACAATCTTATTAGTATCTATGTTGACTTTTATGCATAGAACAGGATTTATTTATCATTTTACGTTGAAAAGAAATAAAATAACGATTGTAAAACACTAAACAATTGGCACTTGTTGGTAGACGGTGTACTGAGAATTTTTCTTACCTTTGTAGATTATCAGGTTATATGAATTAATAATGTATTGAATTTATTCAATGTTACATCCATATAAAGTAACATTCATTTTCTGTTTGATGATTTTTTGTTCACATAATTTTTCTCTGAATATGACGAATAAATGACCTTAAGCATCTCAATGTCAAGAGCATTAAAGATACAAACTGGAAACTAGCAGCAAAAAAAGTTTTTGCAAGGAGGTACTCCACATGTGTTTGTAAGACTGATTCAATTCCATCTGCATAATATTGACTTTTCGGTAGAAATCTTTTGTTGAAAGTAATTTATGACAAAGAATATTCTCCCATCAGACTATTTGGTTGGTTGGATTAGCAACTGGTGTAATATATTCGTCGTATAGAACAATCTTATTAAACATATTTATAGTCTTTAAAGCTCTATATATTTACATATCGTTCATTATACTCTTAAATTTAAATGCACCAGAAACAATTTATTAATATCTCATTAGATTGAAGAATAATTTTCCGATTATACTTCCAATTCATTTTAGATACTTAAGTATTTGAACGACTGAACTCAGGGTCATGTCATCAATCACCCTTTCTTTCTCACTGTTGATTATTAAACAATAAAGTTAAAATTGATGTTTTTTTTTTCAAACTGACTTATTGTAAGAGTTATAATTTAAAAGTTTAACATTAAATGTTAAAATAGCAATATTATTATTATTACTATTAATTTTATCAATTATTTTTATCATAATCGTATTTAATCATTAAAAAAAACTAATTCAAGGCATGTTAACTTAGAAACATAAAGGTTATATGATTGAGTTCCCTTAGATAAATTTTATTTTTTTAATTACTCTGCTCATCAAATACGTTATTAACATAGAAAGTTCATTCACTCACTTTTGTAATGGGTATCTTCTAGATGTTTCTAATGACAACCATTGTTTTAGTTCATTTCATTTTATTAACATAATAGTCTAATTAATCATCTATAAAGTTATGGGCTTTTTTTCTAATTAAGATATTTTGACAATTTGATATGACTAACTAAATAAAAATGGTTAAAGGGGAACTAAGTCAATGGGTGATAATTTTAAAATAGTTTAGATTATTTGGTTATACGTGTATGTTAGTCAGTTCAAAATCCAGGAGTTTCGTGCCGAATAATGAAATTAATCTAAAATTCATATTGAAAACAAAATAGAATTAAAATTTGTACTCTAAAGTAATTTCTTTTGCTTTTAGAGTTAAATTATGTATGCCTAATCTTTATGTTATTCTTTGTATATACATCTTAGAAGAGATACACTGTTCCTTA